TATTTTCATTTTGTTCAACATAAATATTTTGTTTAGATAATCAAGATGAATCAAACGGCGACAAACTTGGTAGAATATTTACTTTATTTTCACTTTATATTTAATAATTTAATTATTTGCAGTTTATTAAAAATTTTCTCTTAGGTAATCAAGATTATTCTGAAAATAATACACATCCAAAAGACTTCACGGCTGTTGATTTAAATGAACTCGACGAAAATGTTTCTAATAACAGACACGCAGTCTTAAATGAAGACAAGAATTTATCCACAAGATCGAATAATGGTTCCGAGAAAACAATACAAATACGAATTAAATCCATTTTCGAATTATGGAATTTTTTTATTTCGTACTTAAACACGGGACTTTTACAAGTATTTCAATCAAGATAACGTGATGCAATTTGTGAGGGTGAGAGAGAGGGAGTCTGGGTATTTATACCAAAGCGATTAATTAATCACATGATTTGTATTACGCTTTTTTTTTTAACCAATAAAAATTGATAGTATAATTTTTGTGTCTCTATTGGAATTTCCTTGTACGTACGTAATGATGCATATTGACAAATTTATGCATTTAACCCATCGCTATTTACGGCGATGCATTACGTACAATGATGCTATTGCGTATTGTGAAAGTAAAAAATTAATTGACTTTACAGTAATAAAAAAAAAATTTATGCGTACTCTATGAAGAGTTTACTAATTTTTCCTCACACTTCTGATTGGTTCTACTAATTATTCACATGTCGAAGTGTCTATGTTATTAATCAATTTTATGGTACTCCGATAGTGAAGTGTGGGAGGAAATTAGTAAACCCCTCTATGAACAGTTAATGCATAATATTTGGACTTTGTCAATTATCGACATTCGCAATGATAACAATTAAAAAATCGGCCGGCTCTTTACCATATTTCATTCTTAATGAAAAATAAAAGATTTGTCGATGCTCTTTTAATGTTTTAATTCGAATAGACAGTAGATTTTATTGACCCAAACATTAGTAGGACAAAGTATAGCGAAGTATAATGGTTGCAATGATTGAAAAACATAATAACGGCAATAAATTTACGAGGCAAAGGTCGTATGACAGAAGAGAAAAATAGGGCGACCAGTAATATTAGTAATAATAATATCTTGGGTCGTTGGGTATTAGTGGATTTGTCCCAGGCAGTGATAACGGAAATACATGACTGATACTGATCGGCCACGTAAGCGGCCGATCAGTATCAGTCATGTATTTCCGTTATCACTGCCTGGGACCAATTCACTATTACACAGTGACCCAAGATATTATTAATTAATACCCTGACCTCTCACATGATAAAATACTTCGTTAGCTCGTACGTAATTAAATTCTTATATAATGATGTCAAATTAATTAATCATTGGCTCGTATATAATTAAACTTTTATATAATGATA